CTAATTTTTGTGTTTCGTTTGTTGTCCTTCCCCCGCAACTCCATTTATTGCGGTTGGCTACGTACGGTGCGAACGATGTTCAATATACAAACACGTGTAGTGACATGGAATGGGTCATTATGGAGCACAGCGCTGGTTGCTGGCAGGGAAAGGGATCTGCAGTTGCAGCAGCCCTGTCTGTCAGCAGGTCACGCGATAAGCAGGGAGAGGGATGTAGGGCAAAGGTGATGAGGGGTCACGTGAGGCAAGCCCGGAAACCCGCGAGTAGGTTCTAGAAGGGGGCGTGGCCGGGGGCGGATCCAGGCCACGCCGGGAGGATAAAAGGGGACCCCGGGCGAAGGCTCGGGGCTGTTGCTTGGGGTGGAATCGGGCTGCTGGAGTCTTCGTCACCGTCTTCACCTTCTCGGCGTTGTCAGTCAGCCAGTCTGTTGGCTGTCCTGACTGAAGTGTGGTTACCCCTTGTACCCTGTGAAGGCTGTAATAAATAGAGTGCCTCCTACTCCTAGTGTCTCTGAGTGGATCACCACACATGCATCAGTCCACTTGCTCTACTGCTTTCTGGCGAGCCAGGATATGACATCTCGACGCCAACGGGAAGGGAATTTCACGACACTTGTTCGATCCACCAACCCTCTCCTCCACAGTGCTGGTTTACAGACGCGGTATTGGCTATGCGCACCGATTCTATCACGTTGTGTTCTGTCCTGTTCTGTGTCGTCTGTGCATGCCGTCTGTCTCGTCTGTCTCGGCCTTCTCTAAATCAGCTCAAGCCTCCAGTCAATCACGTGACTTCTATATGGCCTCGCCTTTGTGTGGCCTCTTCCTCCCGATCCTCATCTCTCCTGGCCCCGTTTCTCCGTTCCACCCTGATCCTTTTATTTCGCATTCTTTCTCTTCTCTCTTCCCATTTCCGCTCCTTTTCCTTATGTAGTAACATCGCGGATGTCACTGTGTAATGCCGGCCCTAGAGGGGCTCGGTGAGCACTGACTGACAGCGCTGGATGGCACCACGCTCTGCGTGCAGTGCCGACCCCTACAGGATAAGGTGTGAGAGTGCCGGCCACGGGAATGGGGTTACTATAGGCCGTGGCACTCTGGTTGACCCCAGAGGACACGTGACCGGTTAAGTCTATACAGGGGCCCCAAGTGAGGGCTAGGGGTGGTCACGTGTCAGGGTCGAGATCCTGCTCGAGTATTCTAGAAGGTGGTCGTGGCCAAGGGTGGGGCCAGCCCCGCCACAGGAGATATCCGCCGAGTCCCTGAGAAAGGCCGGCTGCTGTTGTTCATCCTGAAAAATCTACGTTCTACATTCCAAGTCCTACAGAGTCTCCAACACGTGGACCTGGACCCAAGCTGGGGTCCGGTCCGTTGTAGCTAGTTTCGGTGGCATTAGTGCAGTTCGCCTGGTGGTCCACCACCACAGGTTGTTATCTTGTTAAGGGGCAGTTACCGCGTGTGCTGTTGGTATTAATAAATGTGTTGCTTCCAAGAAGTGCGTCTGTGACTCGCCTGTCAAAACAGACACCGCTCCTCCGTGCAGCAGCAGCAGCAGCGCCTTTGTGTGGCCTCTTCCTCCCGATCCTCATCTCTCCTGCCTCCGTTTCTCCGTTTCACCCTGATCCTTTTACTTCGCATTCTTTCTCTTCTCTCTTCCCATTTCCGCTCCTTTTCCTTAGAAATCCCTGTCCATAACTTCCCTTCGCGAGGTATGTGACGGGTTAAACAAAAACAACAAAGAGTTGCAAGTTCTGTCTCTCGCTCATTCGTTCCGTCTCCTTTGTTCCATTGTTCTGCCCCGTCATGTTTGTACAGACTCTCTCGGACCGGTCTATATGTCCTCCCCATCTCACCCGCGTGCTGTCATCTAGTTTGTACTGCCTCCTGTATTCCAAACGTCTCGTCCGTCCAGCCATCAGTAATGGAACATTCAGCTGATCTAAAATTACGACATGAGGCCTGAACAATCTACGCTCGCATCGTGAACGCAATGATCGATTTGCCAAAAATTCTTCTAAGCGGCCACCAGCAACCCCACCCCGATGATACCGCTTACGTAACGCTTACAGAATGAATGTAACACATTTCGCTTGCAATTATTTCCCACATTCAATCACACTAAGCAATTACTCACAGCAGAAACCTGTTCGGCGGCGCCTAATCCCGTACAGTATTTCAAAGTCTTCGGTGGAAATTCCACGTTCCCGTGACGGGGACCAGTATGCCCGTTATCAAGTAACACGACGGCATTGGCTTTGAGTCAAGAGGCCCTCGATGGCGAAAGGGGTAAAAGTGCAGTTGCCTCGCGAGGTGCGGCACACGGGACGGCGTGGGACACGTGGTCGTGGTGCGTACAGAAAGATAAACCTGAGGTCACTGACTCCCTCGGGAGAGGGCCCCTTTCTAATCTAGCAGCAGCAGCAACAACAGCAACAACAACAGTAGTAGCAGCAATAGTAGCAGCAGCAGTACCAGTAACAACAGCAGTAGTAACAGCAACAACAGCAGTAGCAACAGCAGTAGTAGCAACAGTTTCAAACAGTCGCTGGCAATTGGACACGTAGGCTTTCGCGACCAATATTATCTCGAATTGTAAAAATGTTGTGGATTTACTCTACAACACACCGGTGTGCTGAAGTAGTTGCTAATTGGATCTTTTTTTGACGTGGCAAACTTCACTAATTGGCTGTGTCGAGAAGTGGCGGGTTTCATATTTACGCGATCTAACCCCACATTGTTTTTTTATTATGGATTCGTTGACAGCAGTAGCAGCAATGGCAGGAGCATGAGGAGCAGCATAAGCAGAATCATTATCAGTAATAATCGTTGCAGTAGTAGGAGTGGCAATAGGAGCATTCGTAGCAGCATAAGCAGCAACATTAGCAGTGGTAGCAGTAGTAGTATCAGCAGCATTTGTGGCAATGGCAGGAGTATTAGTAGCAGCAGCAGAAGCAGGAGAAACGTTATTAGCAGTTGCAGCAGTAGCGAGGTGTGCATTACGGGTTCTGTCAAAATAGACGTGAGGGTGTAACGCTGGGTGGTTTTACTTACCGGGCTAAAGTAGGACATTTCTAATTAGGGTAGCGAAGCCGCCGATACATCGCAGCGGTTCAAAGTCTCGGATTCCTCGTGTTGTGCACTGCCATACAATATACCATCGCCATCACCTATCTCCGAAATCTGATAAGTCAACCCCCTCCCCCCCGTGAGGCTGCACAACTGAATGAATGGGCCACTGGCATAAGAACGCGGAATGTTCACTCCCTGGCAAATGTGCGTTGAAGAATTGGGAGAAAAATGTTTTGTGATACAAGAAAAACATCAGTGGTTCCCTGGGAGGAGCTCATCGACTCTTTGCATCCCTGTGCTATTGGTGGAAATTCCACATTCATATGGTGGGGTTCAGTTCATTCACGAGAGGCAACGAGAGGAAATTCCACATTCCCGCGACGAGGCATAGTTTGACCGAGAGAGTGGTGACCATGAGAAGTAAATAAATATACACGTTCACAGCGAGTCGCTAATTCCTTGCAAGTGGTATGACGGATGATTACCTTTCTGTGAAAGATAGTAGTAGGAGGATGATAATGACAGAAATATTTGTGGCGCTTAAGTCTCTTGTCCGCTTTGCCAGGCTCACCTTTATCGGCGCCACTGTTATATTTTCGGTCAGCCAGGTCACTGCCCTGTATATTGTGGGTCGAGTCCAGCGAGAGCAATCAAGACCACGTGCCCGAGGCGATTCAATAGGGTTGATATTCTTAGGTTTTTTCGGTAAAGTCACGTAGGTAAAACATCAAAATTAATAAAAATAAATAAAATAAAATAAATTTGTTTTATTTTATTTATTTTTTATTAATTTTGATGTTTTACCTACGTGACTTTACCGAAAAAACCCAAGAATATGAATCCTTGCAGTCACGAAAGCTTCAAATCTAGAATCAATAGGGTTGCTCTGTCTTTCACTTTTTGCCAAGCCACCCTGCCAGTTTTCACGCAGTAGCGTATCTCTTGGGGACCACGGTGTGCTCACAACTTGTTTTACAGGATGACCCCATTAACCCGACACTCACACCTAAGCCTGCGCGTTCCCGAACACTCACACACCCTTAAATAAGGCACTTTTAGCCTGAGAGATGGCGTCTGCATTCCCAAACAACCCCGACTCCAGGGTGAGGCTGGACTCCGCGAGTCGTGGGCCTCCACCACCAACACTGGGCAGGCCGGACACCGTCACCAGAGCAGAGTAAGCGAGCCGGCCTTTCTGACTGCTTCCCACCACAGGGCTGGCGTCAGAGGCAGACTCCTTCTGCTCCACTTCCCTCCCCTTCTGCCGAAACTCGTTTTCCCTCCCCTGCTCTCCACTGGCTGTCCACTGAAAAAGAAAATCACACGGGGACTGTTAGTTGCAGAGACCCATGGTGCATTACAGAAATATCCTTCTTCGAATACCCGCGCTCTAACCGCACAGTCCTGCCGAGCCGCTACGGAGAGCTACTTTAAGCCCGCAGCTTAGCCGGTTCTTTAGACCCCTCCCGTTCACTGCTGGCTGGAGCTCGAGAGCAGAGACGCTTGTGGCTGGGCTCTTTCTCCTTTCACTCTCCCCTATTGTGTGGTGGGGTGGTCCCTATTTATGGGAAGCTGGGCACACTCAATTGCGATTCACACTTTGTTTGCCGCATGCTGCTATAATGTTCAGTGACTTTACAGGTGGACGGACCACCACCACCCCCCCATTGGATGTTCCCTTCTTACTTGCTTGTACCATGTGACAAAGATGATGACGGTAAAAAATATTGATACGAAGTTACTGATAACCGAGTGAGCGTGAACGCTGCCTAAGCTTAGGTATCCGTGCCTATAAATCTATCTCTGCTTGGGGGAGTCGCTGACGGAAGGAATTCCCACCACCCCTTCTATGCAGGGTCCCCCCCACCCCGGCACCCTTCACCGCCCCCAACCTCCCCTCCACCCCCCACTCCTTATTAAGGTCGCCGTTCCCCACCCCGCACCCTCACTTCGGTTCACTCAGCGTCTCTCAACTCACCGTTTCTCTCTCTCTCTCCCACTCTCATCGCTCTCTCGCTCTCTCGCTCTCTCCACACGGCGCACCGCTCCCCAGAACCCTCGCTCCAGCATCGGCCCCGGGTCGATCTCCATCCTGCCTCGAGATGCTCAGAGTCAGATGCCTCCGTGGAGGTAGCAGAGGTGCCGAGGCAGCGCATTGCATAGGAACCATGGTAAGAGCAGACGGGGATTCTGGGATAGCGGGGACACAAGGGGGTAGGGGGCACGAGGGGATGTGGGGCACACAGGGATAGGGGGACGCGGTGCGATAGGGGACGCGTGGGGATGTGGAATGATGAGGGGGTAGGGGACACGAGGGGTTAGCGGGCCACACAAGGAGAGTGAACGCATGAGGATGAGAAACTTGGATTTTAATTCAGCAGCATCCCGTGTATGGCAGGCATGGTCAATATGTGATGCGTAGCATGAAAGTGACATTTGCATGACATATTCATATACGGGCTCGCTGTCAATCTACAGCCGGATGAAGGCCTCCCCGTGCCACGTCGGTCATAAGGGGCTTTTGTTTGACCATACTTCACCACGCTGGTGAGTGCCGGGGTGGTGAAAAGCGACCCCAGCACCGGGTTCAGATATCCGCCGCCAGTGATGTTAGCCGCGGCTGGGAGTCGAACTTGGTGCAGCTGAGTCGAGGGCGCAGTGCGCTCATCAAACACCGACGTTTCGGTTTGCCTGCGTGAGGTATGAACGTATGATGGATGTCTGTGCTTCGTTCCTGGCATGGTCTTCACGTGGGACCGGCGTGATCTGGATGTCGGTGGCATGTGCATCCAGTAAGCCGTATGTGTACGATGGTCGATGCCATCCAGCGTGGCAAATATTAGCAATGATTTTCATCATATTGTTTTTATCTCTACATCACACCGATGGGTGATAGCAAGCTCAGCGTGGTAGCTTTTTTTAAGAGATAATGTTTCGTTAAATAGGAATCGATAGAGAATATCGCTTTGGGGAAAAAGCCAGCGAGATGAAACATCTACAGGTATATGAGCATACATAAGAAGTGTGTGTGTGTCTCTGAAACATACGGTGCATGTCCTTGGCTGTCTGCCCATGGTGGACACTCTCCACGAGAAACACTGTTAGAAATGTCCACCCCGCGTGGTGCCGACCATTGGCTCATGGGCTGTGTGGCATCGTGGCCATTAGATACGACGGAAATGGCAGGAATATTGGTAGGATGTGCATGGTAGGGTAGTGGGGTCGTTGACTGGGGCGTGCGTGGTATGGTCATTATATGACCAGTGCATGGCAGAATCATCGAGTGGGACGTTTCTAAGCAGTCGGTACTGAGCAGCCGTGCATTGGGGAATATTACAGAAGCGCATGATTGTTGTGGCATTATTATTATTATTATTCAATGTTGCATTTCGCGCTCAGGAGTCACGTCGTGATGGCAAGTGTGCGTACTCTTGCCAGTCGCGTATGGAATCGCAAGTTGTGGCTGTTTAACGAGACCGGCACTGCCGGTGAGACGCGGAGAGTCGCAAGCCATCCTGCACACTCTGATCGCGTGAGGGAAATGCTGTTGGATAACATCGATGCGGTACTTCACTTGGATGCGTGGTTGTGAGTCCGCTGTCCTTGATCCGTACATGATTCAGTCACCGTGCGAGCCATGCACAGCAGACTCGCGTACATGGCTGGGTACATCGCTACAGATGGGGTTTGACTTTCAACTCATAGAAGGGGAGCGGTGCCACGTTGGTTCGCACACTCCACGGTGAACTCAGTGAGTCGAGTTCGACTCCCGGCCGCGGCTGACATCAACGGCGCGTAAAATGCGAACCGATCCTGTAGCCCGCCCCTTCAACGAACCCCCAATTTGACCAGCGTGGTGAAGTATGGTTGAAACGACTGGCAGAGTAGATTGACAAATAGGGCTGCGCGTGTCACACGAGGCGAAGCTTCTGCTGTGTATAATCCCAATTGAGTCATTTGCAGTGTACTTTTTTCATATTTGGCAAATCTGGACGGTGACGTCGGCATACACTGGCCTACTCTTGCGAATAACGTCAGGGGATCTTTAACGTCCACTCCGAAGCCCACGGCGCGGACTTATCGAGGTGGTTATGACACCACCGCAGTGTTATTCAGGGCGCCCGCCAGATTCGAACCGCGAGCCTCTGCAAGAAGCGGCGGCGAGCGCGCGACCGCTGAGGCCACGACGTCAAATTAGAAACACTCCGCCTGTCTCTTTCTTGAGCGTGCACCCTGCGCGTATGTAGAGCACGTCCGTGTGGGTACCTGCGTACAGCGTGCGTGGGAGCGGTGTGGAGGCTATACGGGAAAATCTGTGCGCGTGTGCGGAGAGCGGTGGGGCAGCTACTGGCGCATTGCGCTGCGAACCCGGCGACCCTGGCTCCTTTCCCAGCCACGGCGGACATCTGTGGCAAGTTGGATCAGAACCGGTCCAGGCCTTCTTCCCTAGGTTTGATCAGCCCCAAATGAGTACCTGACGCGGTGTGTAAAAGAACAGCACTGGGAAGACAAAGGTAGCCGAGCGTGGTGCTGGAACTTGCTGCCTCTTCGCGGTTCCCAACTTAATAGGTGCTCGCAATCAGTTCATGCCCCGACAGTCGATACAGTCGGAGTGGGTAGGGTGGATGGGGTATTTGAGAAGATTCCACTTTCGACACCGCACATTTATCACTTGGCCCAAGTGATAAATGTGTGGTGGTTGATAGTGGGCACAGAATAGCGGCCCAAGGAGGGGAACGCGCCAACAGTCTGTCCAATGATTGAGCGACGAAGCGAGCTCATGGGCGAGGAAGAAACCCGTGGATCTTTGGATCGCACGACCGTGAGAGATGGCGACGGCCTGGGGAGGCCATCATCCAGCAGTGGATTGATCCCGTCCGATCCGATGATGACCGTCGTCTTGTAGTCGCGTAGACACACGAACACGCACGCACGCACGCGTGTGTGTGTACACGCACACACGCGTGTGCACGTGTAACTGGAGCGCGCACGTGTGCAACGCATTGCGCTGAGAATTCCGTGAGCAGAGCGCGTCTTGAGTATCTGCATCGGCCGCATTCCATCCCCTACAGCGACCCCCCCCCCACACACAAACCGCGTGCTCCCGTTGTGAGAGTCGTTTATTTATCTACCCCCCCCCCCCCGCTACTTGTTTCTACTTTGATGTCGAACGGTGGTGGTGGTGGTGGCCGGGAGGAAGATGAGGAGGGGAGGCGGAGGGGGAGATCGGGAGGCTGCATATACGTGGGTGGGGGCCTCCTGCCCATTCATCAAACCTCTCACCCCCTATCTCTCCTGCTGCTGCTGCTGCCAGTACAACCCCGTTGGAGAGTTTTCTCGCGTGCGTGGATTTTTGTCCGGGCGCTTGGGGTTCCCCCGCCACAGGCGGTGACAGTGGGGTTAGTGGGTGGTGAGTGAATGGCCGAGTGTGTGCTTGAGAGGACGTGTGTGCTTCAGTGAGTGGGATAGTGAATGGGTGCATTGGTGAGTGGGGGGAGGTGTGTGAGTCCCAGTGAGTGGGTGGGTAGCTTTGTGAGTGGGTGGTTGGGTGGGTGGTTGAGAGGCCGAGTAAGTGATTGGTTGGGTCCGTGGGTGTGTGACTTGCTGAGCAGCGAGTGGCTTTGTGGTTGTATGAGTGGCTGAGTACATGCATTGGCTGGGTGATAGTTGGGTGATTGAAATGGGGAGTGCATAGGGACACGGACATGTTTGAGTAACCTGGGGTAAGCCACGGTCTACGAATTCACTGTTCAAACAGGCGCAACGCATGTTCGGGGTGAGAAGGGGGCCAGCGAGATAGGGTAGAGAGAGTGGCCAGAAAGGGGTGGGAGTTGGGGAGTGTGGGAGAGAAGAATTTGTGAAAGTTGTGGGAGAGAGGGAGAGAGGCAGGACAATGGCTTAACTTCTCATTGTCTCCCTGAACCCCAGTCTCCTTATCTCCCCGTGGTCCTGAACCCCGTCTCCCTGAACCCCGTCTCCCTGAACCCCAGTCTCCCTATCCCCCCGTCTCCATGTACGATCTGTCTCCCTGCACTCTCAAAAGTTCGATCTCCGTGTCCCAGTGTCTCCGTTCACTCTTCACTTCGCTGCCCCCACACCCTGCCAACCCTCCGCTACTTCACCGCCCCCCGCTGTGCCTCTGCCCGCGCTGCCTGTTCCCAGCCATCATCGCAGTCGAGGCACAGCTGTCGATCTTCTTCCAAATATGGGGAGAAACTTTCACGGGTTCCCTGCACTCGCCTCCTCCTCCTGCTGCAGCATCATCAATCACCCCCCATTCCTCACCACCTCACACCACCTCCTGCCCCTCTCTCCGTCCTCACCCCCTCCCCCTCACTATACTCCATCTCCTCCCCTCCGCTGCACCTCCCTCCACCTCCCTCTACCTCGTATACTCCCCTACACATCTCTCCTCTCCATCCCCAACCTCCCACCTCGATCTCCCCCTCCCGCATCCTCCTCCACCCCGTCTCCTCTGCACCTTCCACCGGCTCCCACCGTTCTTGCCATCCCCTCTGTCTACGCCTCCCATCTCCTCCATCCCCCCAGTCGCGCGCCTCCCTCTTGAGTCCGTGGTCCCAGCGCGGCGCTCAAATCTCGGTCAAATGTCCGTGGTCGCCCCCCCGGCATCCCCGGATTTTTAATTTGAACCCGCTGGGGTGAGGCCGAGTGGCGCAGTGGGCAGAGCAAGTGTGCATGGCTGTTGGGTGCGCAGGCGGTGCAACTGCACAGGGTCCCTCCGATCGGCGGGCCGGTCGGGTCCAGTCGCGGAAATTTGGTTAAAAGGAGGGGGGAGTGGGGAGGGGGGTAATTGTATTCCTCGCACGAGGGCCCCGTGCCAAGGTCGTGAGTTTAAATTGTGGCTTGGGGGAGGGAGGGGTCGATAACCCATCATTCTTCCAGGGTGAATAAAATCGTTACCACTTTGCGGCAAGTCAACAGTAGAGAGAGTCGCGGTGCAAGGATACAGGTTGTCCACGCGAAGATTGCTGACCCGCCCATGCTGGACATGTGTGAAAAAGGGCTTCATAGCTCATCGGATTCCTCCTGCAGTTGAAATAAAGATGCTGATTCTGATGCCAGACCAAGTTGGCTTGAGAGGTGCCACTGCGCGCTGTTGAGCTCTCCGCTGCGTGTTCGGGCCGCACCGCGCGTTGCTCGGCACGATGAT